AAATCTGGGGTTGAGTCTATTTTAATACCTAACGACTATTCAAGCATGAATAATGTCTACAGAAGTAGTAAGAAGTCAGATTGGATAATTAAACAAGATACACACACATCGATTATCAACATCGGTTAATTATAGATTTCTTGTAACTTTTGATGTAACTCTTAGAAAATTGATGATTTTATATTGTTTTAATGCAGCTGATGAAGAGTTAAGTTGAAATTTATACCGATTAATATATAGATAACTTTCAAAGTTATTAGAATATATTTATATATCTTTTATAAGCTCAACTTGGGCCTTTGTTTATTGAATTTCAATTTTTCTGATTAAATTTATCATCAATAAAAATGTTCATCCAAAACATAATTTTCGATATGATCAGTGTAGCGAACATAGCATACATAATATACATACCATATGTAGCGTACATAGCATGGGCTCAGTGTGAACTCAGCATTATGCAATGGCTGATGGCAAGTAATAGATTATATCATAGCCATATCCGATTTCGTTACGTCCACCGAAATTGTATGACTAATTGTAGTTACTTGTGCAATTGTAGTTACATTACTCTCACTATCACTGTTAACAATATTTAACGATGAGATTTTGGCTCGTTGATACGCTACAACGGTATTCACGCTCAAGAATCTAGAACAAATAATTTCAATTGTATAGATTGAATGTATTAATATTTAACTTTCACAAAAATCAACATTTACTCACCTTATGCAGACGTATATAATTAACAGTGCACTTCCAGCTGCAAGCATTCTGATAATGGGCCCTTCTACAAGTTGAATAACTGTCCAGGCAGCAGCAGAAGATGCACACATCGTAGTAACAATGGCGATAGTTTGCAGACAATGGCGTGGAGTCAAACTGTTTTGCCAGTCCAATCGACTGGCATGTTCAACATTATATTTCGTGTTACAAACTTTACAAACGAGACTGTCCGCATTTACAGAGCTCTGAAAGAAGAAAGAATCATAACTGAGAAAGTTCGTTGTATTGAAAACAAACAATATATGAGAAATTGTAACTATTTTACCTCAACGAGCCAACGACGCAAACAATCATGATGTACAGCGCTTACATCACCTCTACATTGGCATGGTTGTATCAATGGACCAGCATCCTGTCTCTCATTATCGTAACAAATCCAACAATCTTTGCTATTAATTGATGCTGCATCTGCAGAAAGAAATGCGGTGTCTTGAGATGCGCCTTTTTCTTGTAATTCGATTTCTTTTATATATTTTCCTTGGTCCAAATCTAGTTTCTTTAATATGCGCTTTGGATTTAAAATCCACAATTGCTCTGGACTGAAACGAAAATGGTAGAAGAGTATATTATAAAATAAATTTTATAGGATACATATGTTTTCATGTAGAATACATAAAACGTATGAATGCATACCTCATACAATTCCATAGAACACAAGGGAACCACAGTGCTACACCAACTTCAATAACACGAAATACAATATCATGCCAATTCCTGCTATACAACGGTACCCTAGAATAAGAATATTTAGAACAAATTCAAAAATTCTGAATTGTAAATATTGTAATTCGCTATGTAACTTATATTTGTTCTTTTATTTCCTTACTTTGTTTTCCAAAACTCACTGAGAGTTTCACTGAACAGAAAACCAACTACTATAAACAACATAAATGCTTGAGAGAGTAATCCAAATCTTGACTGATGTAATTGAGACGTATTCACTTGTTGCATATGCACAGGCTCTGCTGTGGATGTAGATGGACCTGGATCAAATAACTTTGCTGTTACTTGATCCTCAGTGTGGACCTTTGTTGTATCAGCTACACGTTTATTTGTTGCAATAGAAGCAACTTGACATTCATTCAAGAATCCACCACGAACCTAATAAAAAAATATCATGAGATAACTCTACAATGCAAATGTGCTATAATAAGAGTATCATAATTTAAAAGTAGCGTACTTTGAAAAACACTTCCACTCCATATATCAAGAAGAAAACCACTACAATGAACAGAAGCACTGCGTAACAGCCGTTGAATACATGTGTATAAAAGCTCTAGAAAAAAGCAAAAGAATTTTATTATATATATATATATATATATATACACTAACACACACATGCAAATTAGTAAAATGTAGTAAATATTAATACACATATATTATATTACTGTTACATTTATATATTTTTCATTTTTCTGATACATACTCGATCTACTTGTGAATAAGTCCGAGCCGTGATGAATTCCGCAAATAAGAGGGAATATGTTAATATATTGAACACAACAAAGGCCAGAAAAGATTTTGACAAAAATTGAGGTTTGTCCCAACGAATATCTCTTAGATGAAACACTTCAGCCCAGAAACAAACAAGCAACGAAGATCCACTCAAGAGCAATGGATAATATGCTGATAGCAAACTCCTAGACCAACCTTCCTTGAAAGCAGTCTATAAAAAATTGAGAGCATGTAATTAAAATAAATGAAAAATATTTTCAAACAAAATACTTGTTTACATACAGGTGAGGTAAAATATGCTCCTCGTATGATTGATGCAAGAAAAACTACAAAGTACAACACTTTTTGAGTGGTGACTCTGCATGCTCTCAGAAATGACGGTGCCTTCATTCTTTGCCATTCAGCAATGATGCACATGACAAGTTGTATCAAACAGATGAAAGCCAGTAAGAAAAAAATCGATGCAAATGCAATGTAATAACTCAGATTTGGAATATGGCATTCTGGTCCGTCAAACTGAATCTGAAATGAAATAATTAAAAAATGTTATTATCTCAGAATAATTTGATAATAGCCAATAATAGTAATACCTCGCATAGACAGGTCCCATTATGGCATTCCCCATGGCCAGAACAGTTATCGTTTCCACAGCTGTTGTTCCAGGCCATCATACCAAATTTAACCAGTAATGATAATGGATTTTGTGTACTCAATGCGATCACCTGTTCCATGATCGGTAGATACAGACTGCTTCAGTGCAGCCCTCTAGAAAACTGTATTGAAATGCAAATAATTTATCAGGTATTGTTCTGACCAGACATTCCAATTAATATGCAAATGACAAATAAAACTTCCCAATATTTTTAGAAATTACACAATTTGTGTAAAGTAGAGATCTTTTTAAATTCACCTCAAAGAATCATTAGGGAACGATTTTAATTAACATTTGGAAAATGAAATGAGGAATACATAACATCTGTGCAACTTGGCAAATAAAGCAAATTAGTCATGCACGGAATAATTCACTTTAATTAAGTCAATCACATCAATTATACCATTCGTGTGTGCAATACATACGTTAATTAAGCAAAATATCTGTCCTCCGCGGGACAAATTCGAGCGAAAGCGATATCGATTCCCAGATATCGTAATCTAGACTTGTCCCGGACGAGACAATGTACTTTAAACAATGACACACACTTTTCAGGGAAAATAACACCACTGAGTAAAAAAGGAATCGTCCTTTTAGCTTGTCGACTGACCGTTTGCTCGATCCAGCGTGTCTACGTGCGTTATGTAGGTCTCACAAGTGCAAAGTGAGTACAGATGTACGTAGGAACCAAGGACGGCAAGGACGCGAGGACGCGAGTTCTCAGACCATCACATTAATCAGCTGTCTCTTCTGCGCATCGCAATGCAACGCTGCCATTACACGCGTATTACCACGCATTGACTTTCAACGAAAACGTAATCCGCCGAGCATCATTCGCGAGGACGAAAAGTCATGACAAAAACTTCGAAACTGTCACATCGGACAATGAGAGAACCTCCCCCTCATTGTAGCTCATCGAAATCCCCTCAACGAATTCTCGAGAATTTCATCCAATTCCCAGAATAACCGAGACGCAAACGCAACGCGTCGCTTGATTTGTCCAGACTTCACCAATGGCAACTCCACTCTCTCTCTCTCTCTCTCTCTCCCCCTCCTTATCTCTCTCTCGCTCTCTCTCTCTCTCTTTTTATTCGTTCTTTCTTTCTTTCTTTCTTTCTTTCTTTCTTTCTTTCTCGACATTCCTCATTTTTTATCTTAGAGTTTGACTGATTAATGGAGGCAACCAGACCAAACTACAATCAGCCTGATTAACTTATCAAGTATACTTGTATTATTTGGTTAACATGAATAGAAATATTAATTCTTTAAATTGTTTATCATATGATAGTTATACAGAGATTATTTGTTGCTAGAAATTTTGTTTTAATGTAATTCTATCAATATTATAATCACTAATTAAATTAGAATGACTTGGACCAAACTCAAATTAATCTATTTTTAATTAATATTATATATTATATTAATTAATTAATAACACGACTAAAACTATTAAATTTATATTAAAAAGATTAAGAGTTCAAACCTCAACTAGATGCACAGAGAATTAAAAAAGAATTCAATTGTATGTCATCAATTCTGAGTTCATTTTCAGATGCAAAAGGAATTTTTTTTAGAACTTTCCAGAAAAAGAATTTTTCTCACTCTCTGTGTTATTTGAGACTATATATTGATATCTTATCTTCGACAATTCTGATCAAATTAAATCAAAATTTGATTACCAAAGTTGCCCTTAGAGAGAAATCTGAATTTTTTTTTTTTTTTGAATACTTTAAACAAACCCTAACAATATATTTATCAGCACAATATTAACCCAATATATTCACAACGTTTACAATCAATCGCCAATAAATTGTCAAGGAAATTACTAATATACATTATTTATAGAAGATATTTTAATCTACAAGAAAAAGCTACAGACTTGTTTCTTAAGTTCATCTTTTATTCTTTTCTTTTTCTCTATAGCAATCATCATATATCATTATAGTTTAATTTTATTTCCAACGCAAAAAGGCCGCAAAGGAAACGTAATGAAAAGGAATAGATACAAAACAGAGAGACGCATGCGATGTCCAATGAACGCAGAGCTTTCCCGGAAATCGTCAATCGATGTTTCGATGCGTACTTCGCCTAAAGATTTCAGTTCGCGTTCTAAAAACAGATCCAAGAGGCCTCATTCGAACGAATCGACGTTGTTTTATCGAGTATTGTAGCTGATGGTCGATATCTGTCTAAATTTTCACGATATTCTTTATTACGTCTAGCTTGACAGCAACAGATACGAACAAGAGCTTTCAAGGCAAGATATATTCTCCCAATAAAGTTGCTTTGTCCTGTGATTCATGCAAAGTAGTCCTCTAAAAAAAAAAATAAGTCGCTAAGTATATGTAATGAAACGTTATATAATGTATATATCTTGTGCATCATAAAATCCTATGTTGATTAGATCACGTATAAACCTCTATATTTCTATCACAGATGCATGACTGACATTTGTATACGTTCCTGTGAGCCTCGGAGATACTTCAATTATCTCCGAGAATCGAAAATCATCTCTCATGTAAATTCGTATAAAAAAAAGTTGATAAACGTTTGCTCCCAAGTAACCTATTTCGGGAAATTTAATGGCATGATTTTCGACAACTTTGTTATAGTCTTGACATCTAAATTATTTATCATTTAAATCTTATCATTTAAATAATTTTTTATTTAAACCCTGATTTTATAATAGCTTTAGTATTAATTTAATGTAATGCAAGTGACTGAATCATTATTAGATTTAAATAATAACGATTCAGTCGTGTACATTACATTAAATTAGTACTAAAGCTATCATAAAATCAGGGTTTAAATAAAAAATTATTTAAATAATAAATAATTTATATGTCAAGACTATAACAAAGTTGTCGAAAATTATGCCATTAAATTTCCCGAAATAGATTACTTGGGAGCAAACGTTTATCAGCTTTTTTTTTTATACGTTTATCAGCTGTCATAAAATCAGGGTTTAAATAAAAAATTATTAAATTAATACTAAAGTCATGAAATCAGCAAAATTAAATGCGAAAGCACATAAATATTTTAAATGCTTAAATACTCAATAATATTATCGTGACAATAATATTATCGTATTATTTAACAGAATATACATATATTATTTTATTTATTTTTAATTAAAATTATTGTATTATGCTACTGCATTTAGATATTTTATATAAAGCAGCCTTTAATATATATTAAATCTAGTAGTGCAAATGATCAAATTTATCATAAATATTTGTCTTTAAATCTAAAAATCAAACTATCTAATTAAAAATTCCCATTAATAGCATTTACTTATAAATGGATGAATAAAACAGAAGTTTTATAATAACAATTTTGTGGATTTCAGATGTCTACTCCAATAGCAAAACCACAACTTCGTGGTCTCCTCACAGCACAGATCAAAAAGAATCTTGTATCAATGTTGGTAATTAGCATTAGTGCGGGACTGGCATATAAGATTCTTGTTACTGATAAGAGAAAACATAGATACGCCGAATTTTACAAGTATGTACAAATGTCTTTTATAAAATACCGCCATTACTTATTCTAGTCTCATTCTAATGTCACGACTATTGCATCTATATATAATCTTCACTTTATACTTAAAGTCTCTAAAGTCTCTCACTTCTACCAATGTAGATTAACTTTAATCTTGGTTTAACTTACTTTTTAGCTTTTAGTTCTAAGAAAAGAATAGAAAGTAAATCAATCTGAGATTAAGGTTAATTTTAGATTAATTTACTTTTTCTAGCTATATATTTTTATAATTATTTTGTATTAATTATATTATATATATTAATTCATATTATATAATAGTCTAATATTCATTTCTACTAATGGAAATTAACTTTAATTAGTTTAATTTTTTTCTTTATCTTTTTCTGATTCTAAGAATTAGAAAAAAATAAACAGTAAATTAAACTGAAATAATGTCAATCTTACATTGATAGAACTTGATCTAATTCTTAGAACTAAAAAAAAATGAAACAAAAAATGAAACTAAATTAATTTACATTAATAGAAGCGGGTTGATTATTGCTAATAAAGATTAACTTTAATTTTTCGGTTCAACTAATTCTTTATTTTTTTTTTAATTCTAAGAATTAGATGAAGAATTAGTTGATTCGAGATTAAAGTTAGTTTACATTGATAGAAATGGACATAAATAAATTTGTAATTTTGTTTTGCAGAACCTACGATGCAGAGAAACAGCTAAAGATAATGAATGAAGCTGGTCTCATGCAGTCCTATATTCCTCAAAAGAAATAAATTTATGTATACAAATGATAGAAGAAAAGCTTGAAAGAGCGAAAATAAGATAGTCTTTTTCGAGATTATATATTATATCTATATATATAATAAATAAATTCAACATAGTATTAAGTATACTAAGTTTCTTATTGATTGCACATTGATCTCCGATAATCGATTTAGTTAATCGTTAAATTTGTATTCCAGATTGTCCATATTTGTTGCATAAAATAACTGATGTAAAAAATATATGTTTTTGTGTCGAAGATCGTCTTGTCGATTACACAATTGGTTTTGTATTTGTATTTAATGAGCAATTGCAATTTTTCTCGTAACATTTATGTATCTATTTTCTGACTTGGCTACGCGTAGCGATACATATTCAGTATTCAAATTTATCATTCAATTTAAATTGCAGCTTTGTAACAGCCTTGATGGTTTAAACATTTTTTTTTATCTAATTAATGTAAAAGGTATGATTTTTGCGCGCTCGATACGCGCAAATATCGCATGGAAAGAAGTATTGATATAGCAAAAGTAGTAAACGAGGCTCCCGATGACGTCTCGCGTCTCTAGTAGAAGAGAACGCAAGATATCCAGAATTCGGAAGCGACGGAGCGTCGCGAGCGTCGTTATCGGGAATATCGGGACGCGACGACGCGAGTAGCGAGACGAGGATTCGAGGTTAGGGGACATGTATATACATCTTGGCCAAGATGGCGCCCTGTCCGGAAAGTACCCAGCATGCTCCGCGCGATTGATTTGCGCATGTCAGTTGCTCGCATTGCAAATGGCGGCACCTTGTTATTGTTCATGGCGTTTTATGACTTGTCTCTTTATATTAGCGATTATGTCGAGTTTTTTCGCGATCCCTGCCGCGCGCTGTGTGCCGAGTGTGAAGTAGGGCCCGCGCCGTGTGTTTTAGGTTAAGACCAGTGCCCGGGCGGTGTGCCTCCGTGCTGTACGGACGCGTGAAATCCCGGACAGTGTCGGAAAGAAATGGGGTAACGTTGAAATTTTCCTGTGTTCATACGGTATCAAATCGGCGCTGCGCGACGACTGGAGTGAGGCTCGCTGGCCGAGCCGCGGCCGTCGGCGGGCGCGGATACGTTCTCCGTGCCCGGGCGCGTGTCATCCGTCATGCGATTATGTCCACGTTCGAAGACGTGGGGCCCCAGGAAGGGAAATAATTCCCCCGACTTTTGACGGGCTATCTTGAGCATGCTTGAGCCCACTTCACGTACACCTCCCCCGACGGACAAAATGGTGGCCCCCCGATGTTCCGACGGTCTGGATGCCGTATTTCGTCGAAAATCATTACGGCAAACGTCAGGACGTGCGTCCCGCGTCGCGTAACCGTCGATCCCCGTCGATCCGCCCGTCCGCGTTTCGCGCCCAGTCGAAAAAATACGCTCTATAACCTATTTCGCGACGTTGCTCGCGCGCACGGTGCCCCCGCGGCCGCTCGTGCACCAGAGGATTTTAATTGCCCCGTACACACGTACGGCTTAGACGGACCACGTCCTCGCGGGGTCGTACCTCGGCCTGTGGCGCGCGTAACGACCGCCAGGACGACCTGGACGACCGCGCCGCTGGGCCGGGCGCTCGACGCGGACCTCGCTCCCCGCGGTAATCGTCCGTGCCCGTGTCCGTGCCTTCCGGAAATCGAGCACGAATTATAACCTAGTAACTTGTAGCCTAGCGGGCCTCACTTTTTGTTTATGCGCCCGTATACGTGTGTATGTATGTGTGTGTATCTGTGTTGTGTCTGTGTGTATATGTGTCCGTGTGTGTTTTTGTCATTTTCTCGCCGTTCTCGCGCGGCCAACTTCCTATCGATTCTACGGCGAATAATACAACTTTTCCCGATCGACGGCAACTCTCTTTCCTCTCATTTTGTCATTGAATTAATTATCTCTGCTTGATACATAATCTTCGTCTGGAAACTCCCTCCTCTCCCCCCGCATTTGGTTTCTGAAATTTATTTAAAACTGAAATCGTAAAGCGAAATATCATTTAATTGTTATTTAAATATTAAAACTAATGATATTGTATAGATGTGTATGTATGGTGTATGCCGTGCGCGCGCGCGCGCCTGTGTGCGTGTGTGAGAGCGAGTGGGTGGGTGTGGGTATGCGCGCGCGCGCGCGCGTGTGTGTGTGTGTGTGTGTGTGTGTGTGTGTGTTGTATGATGTATATACTGGCCATATGATATGTGCCAAAGAATTTTTTTTTCTTTTCATCTGTCATGAGGATGAGGTTTGTTTTTTATTGCTAGGCTGTAGTAGAACTTCTCGCTGTCACCAAGTTGTCAAACCAATTTTAAATCTATTTGAGTACAAAAGTATACACTAGTTTAACTATAAAAAACCTAGACCTATATCTGCCATAAATACCAATCGAAAAAATAGAGATTTTGCATTATTTTTAATTTACTTTATATATTTGACATATTTATATGTATCTAATTGGATTTTTTACTTTTATAGTGTCTTTATCTTGAGATACAAGTGTATCTGCCAGATTCCTTTTGTGTGTGTGTGTGTGCGCACGCGCGCGTGCGCGTGCGTGCGTGCGTGCGTGCGTGCGTGCGTGCGCGCGCGCGCGCGCGCGAGGTGTACTACTACTTTATAAAAATATAGATCTTTTTTTTACTTATATGAGACTAACATTACATTTGTCGTATGACTATCTAGAATTTTCTTTCTCACATAATTTTACTAAATCAAACATACTTATTTCACTTTAAGTTCTAAAAGTGTACACTCGTGTACAGTTTAGTTGTAGAAAACAGACCTATTAATATGTTTGAATACATACATATTGTAAGACTTTCATATGTAAATTATTGTCATTATTGCGCAAATTATCACATATATTTTGTTAACATAACTGCATGAAATGCAATGTTATTCACTGATATTAATTTATTTACACATATAGTGTTAAGTAACAACATAATTTAATAATATTTGTTCTCTGTGTGGTCTAATTATTCAAATCTCTTATTTGTTTGACAGTAAACAAGATTAGTAGAACTGGTGTGATTTGGGGCTGTCGGTGTACAACTGACACACGACATCTCGTCATCACACACATATTAGAGCAATACCCCGAGGCGTTTCTACACTCTCTGGGTAGTTATGTGATTTGTGGTTGGTACGTATTTTATTGTTGTATAAATATTATTCATAATTTCTGTAATTATAATTTTTTATGTTATGTTAAATAAATATTAGATGATTATTAAAATTTAATTATTATTTTTAGTAAATACTATATATATTTTTTTAAATTTGAATAATTTATCTTAGAAGTTATATTTAAAAAAAAAATTAAAAAATACATAGGCTTCTTTTTTTTCAATGAAATGAACATTTCTTAAATTTTTATTTAATAATGTATAAGTTTTTTTTTAAACTTTTTTTAAACTCTTTTGAGATTTAATCTTTATACTACTATTATTAACATTCATCATTATTATTACAAAAAATTTAACAAAGAATATAAAAAATAACATTATCATTATTGTAGAGATAAAATTTTATTTTTTGCTTGGAGTTTTATTAAGACATTATCAATAATGAATTTCACAGTCATGGCGGCAGATAGTGATGGTGATCTGATCGAGACGGTGGTAACCTGTGAGGGTGATCTTGGAGATCCCGAGTTCCCTCGAAAGTTTGAAATTATTGTTGATCATCTCAATACCTTACTTTGTAAAAGTAAATAATTTAATTCCATATTATACATACAGTATTAATTATTAATGTTAATATTTTTTCTATAAATATAATGATTATTAATAAGCAAACGATATACAATTTACAGAAAAAGGAGATGGTCTGAGAGTAAATAAAATAGAACCATGGAATTCAGTCAGAGTAACATTTTCAATACCCAGAGAAGCTGCTTTACGGCTTCGAGAGTTAGCAGCTCAGGGTTCTCCAACACTTACACAACTTGGCATACTCTCAGTACAAGTCGAAGGAGATCAGGTAATTTATATATCCGGTTGGAGTTTATAGATTTATAAATATACATATATTGTATATTATTGTATGTTATTTTAATAATACCATTTTTAAAAAATTTCTGTAAAGAAAAAAAGAATGATTATTAAATGAGACATTTTTTGCAGGTAATATCTTTAAGGATAGCCAGTCGCTTCGGTGGAGATGCGCAAGAAATTGTGCTACATTCTGGAACTACGCAAGATGGTGGAGCAAAATCACAAGGAGATGCTACTAGTAATACAACTGCTGCTGACAGTAACCCTTCAACGGCTTTGCCTGGTCCCAGCAATGCTACCAGCATCTCGTCAACGCTACATAATGTTGCTCAGATAATAGCAGCTGGTAAGTTCTTACGAATTATAAAAAATCTAAAAAAAAACGTATATAACACATGTTATATAAATTTCTTTGTGTTTTCAGGAACATCATCAGAGAAAGCTCCTCAGTTTCGTTCTCCGAATGTAGTCGCGCCCACAGACTGTGATCCTATTCCACCGTTTCTTGCGAAATCGGCGCAGTCCACGTCAGCGGGTAACACTGGCGTTTCCGGAAACCAGCAAGTAATTAATCCTAGTGCATCGTCCAGAAACAACTACAACGGTCCTTTCCCATTTGCCAGTATGACACACGCTGCCCAAGCAATACACAATCGCGAATCGCAGTCTACAACTATCAAGAATACGATGCAGTTCAAACATCATGCACAACCGCCACCACCATATCCATCTCAAGAAAATTTGGCGACAGTTACGGCATTGACGACCGGTCACACGACAACACAACCAGTCGTTACTGTTGGACAGTTAACGAATCAGTACAAACCCACGACGATTGCTACACCATCTAGTCTGTCACCAAACAACAGTACCAATTTGGCAGGAAGTTCGAACGGTAGTGGGAATCAGGTCGCCCTGTCCAGTCCATTACTTGTGAATCTTTTACAAAATGATGCTGGTTCGCATGCGAATAACGTTATACCTGGTCAAAAAATGTTACCGCCAGCTGTTATCGACAATCCTGGACTTACCAATCGCATGAGACCCACTAAGAAACCTACGGTTAGGAGGAAAGATCTCTCGTTGCCCAGCGAATCGCCACCGAATTCGGATACCATGAGAA